TTCTGAACAGAACTTATGGGCAAGATATAGGTTTCATATCCAAGAAGCCCAAAACTCAAGATCAACCAATTTCCATCCAAAGTCATCAAATTTAGGGCAAAACTGAATATCTGAAAATCTGGTTAAAACAGAAATTTCTATGCACAATTTTTTAAGCCAGAGAAATCCTTCATCACTAAGTCAAAAAAATAAATTTCTCCAACACATAAGTACCTTCAATACATGTAGGTTAATTAATAGGTCATCTTTAATATTGTGAACACATTTGTTTCAAAACAAAATGCCTATTCAATACACACAAATTATTTTGCAGTGTAATTTATTATTTTGACTTCAATAGGATGATTGGGACACTTTGCACAAGGTGTCACTTCCTATCATGTTTCCATATTTTCATTTTCACTCTCACGCTGTTGCTAGTTTTCATTTGTCTCTTTCTTTTTGCCCAATACAGCTGTGAGTTGCCCCCTTTGATGGGGAAGCCAAACCTGCTACTTGCATAGCATTTGAAATACCCGTTACAATACTGGCTTTGTCTTCATTACTTAAAAGGTGTACTTTAGCATGGTAAAACTGAAGCCTATGGCTTCTCCGTCATAAAATTCTAAAGACAACAAGGCACAGTAGTTTTACAGTGAAGTAAGCCACAGCTGGAGAATACAGCATTACTGTATTATTGTTTCCTTACAGTAAAAAATCCAGGGAGCTTTTCTTCACTAGGATTTTATGACAACTATCCTATGTTAACTGTCTCAATGGGAATAAAATCTTGTGGGTAGCAAAGACAAATAAAAATAGTAGTTTCATAACACAAATAAGCAAAAAAGTGATTGTTCATGGAAAAAAATAATTTTAATATTAGTACACATAGATTTGATGTCAAAGAAATTCCACTTGTAAATAAATACAGTGACTTCACCGCATCTGATGAAGTAAAGCCCTCTGCTTGTGAAAGCTTATGCATCTATGATTTAGTTGGTAAAATGCAAATTTACCCTGCCTTTTACCTTAAACCAAAAATACTAAAGTCTGTTCATCAAGCACTGTAATTATGGTTTTAAGAGTAGTTTGTGTTAGCTTCATGTTATCTGGTCTGCAAATTCATGAGCTGAGGAAGGAAAAATACAGTCCCAACTACAGTTCTTTTCAAATACTTTTTTTAGGGCTTGCTTTAAACTAAACTCATAAACAAAACAAAACATACCACAGTACACAGAATAGATGCCAGACATGTTTCCAGCATCAGGTAACTGTTAGGAGATAGGACACAACCATCCCTTATAAAAACTGCCCTGCAACAGTCCCTTCTTTCTTTTATAACCCCACAGGACCAAGCCCTTGACTGGAGGCACATTTATGCTTTGCCAATACATAATATGCCTTAATCTGAAATTAAAACTTAATTTACTCTTAATTAGCTCCCCTAACAGAGATGCTCAAGGCTGGTCCAAAATGCTGAAAGGACCTGTCCTGGGGTGGGTGGGGCTAGGAGTGCCCACCCAACCCAAGTTTACAGATGTGCTCCACAACTGGAAGTTCTCCAGGGGTGTTGCCCTGGGGTCATCCCTGGCATCTCCTCACAAGTTAACCACAGCCCAAGGGCTCAGGACTGGGTGCTGGGGGTGAACCTGGATTTGTCTCAGTGTTGAAACTGCCAGAGTGCCTATGCACTCAGGTACATGCATTTTGTCCTGTCCTTGCTGAAAGAGGCTGCTTTCATGTTATACATAAACTGCCAGAATCCTGAAACAGGATCTATATGGGAAAATACACCTCCAGAACTCCCACTGAAATCACTGAACCTTCTTAGGAAGCTCGCATGAGAGAATTGGGACCATAGTATTAGCTTCCCTGCAAATTTAATTTTCACTGAGAGCAAGGAAGCATTCCACACATAGGAATTATTGATCTTACAGATCTACAAAAAGAAAAAATTAAAATATTTGAAGTAGGAATCCTTCCTCTAGCTGTTCAAACCATTTAAGGATCAAACCATACTAATGTCTGGTAATGTCATTCAATCAAGACAATTCATCCCTTTTAATACTTGACCAAAACGAGATATAAATCCTGCTAACTGAGAATCAATTAAATCCTCTGGTGTAATTTGAATTAGTCAAATAGTAAACATAAGCAAAAGCACTGGAAACAAAGAGTCAAAAACTATTAAGCGTGGTTCCAATCTCCTTTGATAATACACTGCTAGCCTAGAAATCTTTAAGAATTCCAGCAGTATAACATCAAGGAAGTGATTACAATCCATCACCATACATACACATCTACTCCTGAAAACCTTACAAGATGTTTTATATAGAAATGATGCTGTTCATAGACTGTAAGCTCTTTAATTAAAATAACTGTAGGTCCATCAAACATGAAAACGTTACTGCAAGTCTTATCTGATTGAAGAGCTTTAACTTTCTTTAATTCCATCCTGATTTAAATACACCGTTAAGAAGAAGCTAACCCTTGTTGTGCATCTAACAAGTTGCACTCTACAGTAGTTTTATGACATAACTGTACAATAACTAGAGACAGATAGTAAATGTCTTCGGCCATTCTGTGGCTTTAAAATGGATTAAATAAGTCTCCTGGTGACCTCTTGGTCTAATGTGTTTTATATCCATATACGCTATTCAGGTCAATTCATTTTGCCGTAAACACTTCTTTGCCTCACATAACAAACCAAAAAACATGACCCTGTCTGCCGCAATTAACCAAACAACTTGATAGTAGAAATATTATCTGTAAGTTTTTAAACAAACAAGGAATATGTTGTAACAAGTTACACAACATATTTTGCAGGCAATAACCTGTTAACCTCCAATATCATAATTCCTTCTTCCTCCTCAGGTTTGAATTGCTTTAGCCCTTCAGGCTGCAAGAGACCTTGCTGGTATGGAAAAAGTATTTTACTCTTTCCTGCCTCAGTCTACCCTCTTCTTATCATGTTCACAATTTCTCAGCTGGATCCTCACTCTTCTCTTCAGCTTCTTGGCTGAGTACTTTCTGGATACTGCTGTTACTCTTCCTAGTCTGGTAGCATCTACAGACAGCCCAAGTTAAACCAAGGCCTCTTTATGCTAGGTACAACATACATGGCAAAGTTAGATTCTAAGTAGTCAATGCATAAATATCCACTGGACTCTACTAACTTGATCCTCTGATGTTCTCTCTATAGTCATTCTTTGAGCACATGCAGTCCCAGGATTTAGCTACCAACGACAGAGAATCCTGTACAAGGAGCCATTTTTATTAGCCAATCTTCTGTTTTAAGAGGCTCCTTCCCCCAACCCCTCCATACTGACTAGAAATGTTGCTTCACCTTTACTTTGTATGGGATGGTTTGGATAGGCAGGGGGTTGGACCAGATGACCTCAGGACACCCAATCCAGCCCTACTTCCCCACGATTCTATGATTTTCTGTGATTCTATGATTGAAACGTACGCCTAGTAGGCAACACATTTTCTTTCCTGAATATTTGCTTAAAATCAATTTCATAATACATGCAGAAAAATCTCTATCCCTAGCATTTTGCTTTTGTCTGCATCTCCGCCTTTATTTACCTACAGTAAAAAGGCAAAAAGTCAAAAGACTAGCTTCTTGAAATGATTAACCTAAAGGAATCTTAAAACAACTTACTTTTTTTGTAGTTTAATGTGTTTTTACGTTTAAGTTTAAAATGTTATTTGTGAGACAAGAACTACGAAGCAATACAATTTGGGTATGGGCCATCAAACCATGGAAGCATTTAATTTTGATTGTATCATGTCTGTGCAAATTAAGTCTTATAGCTACGTCCATGATAACTAGAAATGTGCATCTAGAACCTTAATAAATACAGCATTAAATACATCATTTGAACCAGGTGCTAGGTTCAACACCTAAATGATAATCACAAAAATGGAACCTAAAAATCTAGCTATAGTGATTCCCTGTCTTCCAACAAAAAAGCTATTCTGTCCCTAATTATGCCAGCAAACATCATAAAAGTTTATTTGGCTACTATTGCCAGTAACACCATCCACTGCAACTTCAAGTTTGCAAAACAGCTTTGATAATTAAAAGTAAAGGGCTTAATAGCAGAAGTATATGCCACTACATACATTTTATTTGCAGAGTTACTACTCTAATTTTTCTCTCCTCTGCAATCAATTTTCATATATTGGAATGCTGAATAATTATCCCTTTGCTAGATTACAATACATGACTCTCTCTGAAACAGCCTAACGAAATACAGGCTATATTTGTGGGTTATGTAAATATAAAAGTGTTAAAAAGACTGGAAGCCTTCTGAAATTTTTTTCTAAAAATGGATAAAAATTGCCATGCAAATGTTAGTTCAGATCCATGTAAGCAATGCAAGTAACTTCAAGAGAACTCGTGAGCTGAATTTCACTAGATTAAAGAGCCAGCATTACTTGTATCTAAACACCAGGCAGATTAGCATTTAATAAATGCTACCTGTATTCTACCTCCTCATGTCACTCAACTGTAAAATTCCACCCAAGGTAAAAATAACCATCATGGGTTTTATTCAGTGGCCCTTCCACACACATCTCCAACTGATAATGTTAGGGATTCTGTAAAAAGGGTGGTTGCAAAACGGAGCCCATGCTGAATAAGAATTATATAGCCGTATTTTTCATTGGTATAAACTGGTACAGCTCCATTAATGCAATGAAGCTGTATCAGTTTATATCAGAAACAAATCTGACCCAGAATTTCTTGCTTTGGTTTCTGAGTTCCTGTGAGAATGAATCTATTCTCTGGTAGTTCAAAGTATTTTAAATGTAGTCCACTATACCATTTTTTACAGTGGAAATCATAACACTTGTCAACATTTAATAATTCAGATGAAACATAAGAGTATGATATTCTAAACATTTTAAAACTCGTCCTTTGTGTGTGCAGATTTGCATGGTTTCCTTTAATGTTTTAGAGGCTGCCTGGATAATCTACTTCTTTGGAAAGAAAACAAATATAATTATTGTGTTACCTGGTTACTTTACAGCTTGACTCAATCAACTCATTTTCGATATCCAAGAGGCTAGATGGCAAATTGTGTTCCAGGGGAGATGTCAATCTTTTTAAACGCAGTAAGCCAACACAGAATTTGGCTCCCATTTCTTCCAGTTCTCGTGTCCCTATCTGCAAACCCTAATGAAATAAAATATGTATTTACATGCATATGCACATATACACACACTCTATAAAACTATTTTGTAAAACACATTTAATATTATTTGTCATGTTAGAGTATTTTGCTCCAAAGAAATAGGGGAGTTTTAAATATATGCTTAGCAGTCATGATCTGAACAACTAAAAGGCTGTCATGGACTGTAGACATTTTAAAAATATTTCCATATCTTAGAGAGAAAATCTGCTCTCTATGCACATACTAAATTTGAAAGCAAGGTACATTTCCACTTCACAGACTAACAAAGTTAGAGGGAAAATAATAAAGATATATATATATATATATATATAGAGAGAGAGAGAGAGAGAGAGACAGAGAGAGAGAGACAGAGAGAGAGCATAAGCTGTGGTGAGCTGGAGCTCACTTTATCAGATATTATGAAAGGATGTTTCATAGTTGGTAGGGTCGGAAGGGACCTAAGCAGATCATCTAGTCTGACTCCCTGCCATGAGCAGGAAAAGATGCTGGGGTCAAATGACCCCAGCTAAGTGGCTGTCTAGCCTCCTTTTGAAGACCCCCAGGGTAGGGGCAAGCACCATCCCTTGGAAGTTGGTTCCAGCTCCTAGCTGCCATGACAGTGAAGTAGTGCCTCCTGATATCTAGCCTGAATCTACTGTCAACTTACAGCTGTTGTTCCTTGTTACTCCCGGTAGTGCTCGGGGGAACAGGGACTCTCCCATTGCCTGCTGGTCCCCCATGGCAAGTTTACAGATGGCCACCAGATCCCCTCTCAGCCTTCTCTAGTGGAGGCTGAACAGGTTCAGGTCCCGTAGCCTCTCCTCATAGGGCCTGCCCTGCTGCCCCCTGATCATGCGGGTGGCCCTCATCTGGACCCTCTTGATGCTGTCCACATCACTCCTGAAGTGCGGCGCCCAGAACTGGATGCAGTACTCCAACTGCCGCCTGACCAATGTAGCATAGGGGGGAAGGATCACCTCCTTGGTCCTGCTCGTGATGCATCTATGGATGCATGACAAGGTGCGGTTAGCCTTCCTGACCGTGCCCCCACATTGGTGGCTCATGTTCATCTTGATGTACACAGAGCAGTGTATAGAAAATAAAGTGATTTAAATACTTATAACAAGTGCTTACAAGAAGTCTTTACAAGTGCTTGAATTGCTTACAAGAAGTGGAAACTTGGACAAATGACTACAGAGGAACACGAGCACTGCTCAGGCATGCAGGGATAAAATCAGGAAGGCCCAAGCGCAACTGGAGTTGCAGCTAGCAAGGGACATGAAGGGTGATAAGAAGGGTTTCTACAAGCAATACAGCAACAAGAGGAAGATCAGGGAAAGTATGGGCCCCTTACTGAATGGGGGAGGCAATCTAGTGACAGATGATGAAGAAAAGCCTGAAGTACTCTGTCTTTTTTAACACAAAGTCTTCACAAGCAAGGTCAGCTCCCAAACTACTGCACCAGCCAGCACAGTTTGGGGAGGAGGTAGATTCCATTTCCCAGCAGCCCCTACCTGCACCCATAGGTGGAGGGAAAAAAAAAATTGGCAGGAGTGGGGGGCTGAGCGCGTGCACATGCCTCCCCAGGTGGGAAAGTCTGCGGGGGAAGGGACAGGAGGAGGGGGAGGGGGAAGGAGTGGGACCTGGCAGGGACCGCGAGGGAGCAGAGCTGAGCCAGGATTGGGATCAGGGCCCACTGTGCCCATGTGGCCGCCCCTGTCCCTGCACCTGGGGTTGCTGCTCAACACCCCCTGCACCAACAAATCCGCAGCCCCTCAGTCCTGCACTGGCCCCGGCTGCCTCCCCACACCAGCCCCAGCCCCGCACTGCCCTGAGGGGCCCAGGGGCTGGAGTGGGGCCATCCTCGGCTGTGCCGCAGGGCCTGAGGGGATGGACCCACTGAGACCCCTGCACCCACCCTGCTCCGAGTCTGGATGGGTCACAGAATGAAGCCATGGCTCGTCTGGGGGGGGTGCAGGGAGGGGGAGGAGGCTCCCGCCACTGCATGCATCCTGGGAGGCATGGGGGCGTGTACCCCTAGATGTGCATGGGGCAGGACAGCTGCCACTGCGGGCAGGGGCTGGGGCAGCACCAGGCTCTTCCCAGCAGGGAGGAATGGGGCCGGGCTGTGCTGGGGTGGGTGGTGGTGGTGCTGGGAGGTTGTGGGGGCTACAGCAAATTTTGGGGTGGCTGCATACCCCTCCAATAGCCCCCACTCAGGGCCTCTGCCACAGCCCTGGCCCCAGCCCGCAGCAGCAGCAGACTGTCCTGCCCCATGCAGATCTGGGGGCATGTGCACCCCCAATGACTCCTGGGGTGTAGCAGCAGGAGCCATGCCCCCTGGATGAGCCACTCGTAGCTCAGTCCCGTGCCCTGCTGGCTGTGCAGCGCCTGCCCCTCCTTTAGCCCAAGCCCCACTCCCTCCCTGCCCCTGCTGCAGACACTGGAAGCCCTTGGCCAGGCTTCCTTGCAGCCCCTACTGCTACCCCACTTTGGGGGATAAGCCCCATTAGCCCACCCCACTTCCGCCACCTATGCCTGCATTTCTGCGGCTGGTTTCCACAGAGACCCCAGGAGTGGTGGCGCTGTGACACGCATGCCAGGGTTTCCATGGAGACCGGCCACGGCAGAGCTGGCAGGGAAAGGAGCTGCTTCAGGGCTGGGATTTTGCAGTGGTGACAGAATGGTCCAGAGTTGGGAAAGAGGGTGCTAATTCACTGCCCGCGTGCCTCGGGCAACAGTGTACAGGCACTGGATCACTGCTTTGCCCCAGCTCTGAACCATGCTGTCACCACTGCAAAATCCCAGCCTTGCAGCAGCTCTCTACCCAGCTGCAAGCTCTGCAAGCACTGCTGGGAATAATCTCCATGGAAAACCTGGCCCCATGCTGTCACAATGCCATCACTCCTGTGGTCTCCAGGGAGGATGCCACAGTGACGTGGGCAGGGGCTGCTTGGAAATGAAGTCCAGCTGCTGACTGGATATGCCATTTTGCCCCCCCTTTTCCTTCCCCATGAGCTAGACTGTTCTCAGCACTGGCTGATGACAGAATTTCAAAGAGGCTCAAGTTTCAGCAAAGGAAGTTAAGGTTAAATATGAAGAAAAACTCTTACTAGGACAGTAATAAAGCACTAGAACCGGCTGCCCAGAGAGGCTGTGGAATATCCATCCTTGGAAGTTTTTATGACATGGGCAGAGAAAGCCTTGGCTGGGATGAGATAGTTCAGGGTGGTCCTGCTTTGAACAGGGGGCTAGACTTGAAGACCTCCTGAGGTCCTTTCCACCCCTAATTTTCTATGATTCTATAATACAAAAAGTAAGAAGGGAGACAGAGAATGGGGAGAGGGGAAGGGAATGGTGAGCAATGCTGAGAGAAGCAAACAGGGAGGAACTCATAAGAACAAAGGGATCACAAAAATGAATCCAGCAAATGGGATAAGAATCCCTAAGTCCCTATTTAAACTATACTTAATACAATCCAGTTCTGCAATTTCCCATTCATATTGTGTTCCCGTTTATATTGCTGCCTAAAAACAGCTGCCCTGATGTTAGCGAGGTCCTGAATGTCTAGGGAGGTTAGAGTTTTCTCCTACACATCTTTGTGTCTTTCTGGAGCTGATGGCAGATTGGTGTTCATTCATTCTTTCATATAAGGATCACCTCCATCTGTCCAACATAGAAAGCAGAGGGACACTGTAAGCAGATGATAGCATATATATAACATTGGCAGAGTTGCAGGTGAATGAACCTAGGATGTTGTAGTGCATATTATTTGGTCCAGTGGTGACGTGGTTTGTATTGAGGCTGAGACACAGCAGGTATCTAGGTCCATTTCAAGGCCTGGTGCCTTAGTGAGAACAGGAGTTTAGATAGTCTGATGTTTGAGAGATGCCATTTGAGGTTGGGGGGCTGCCTGTAAGCGAGGACAGGCTACCCTGAGACAGATGTCCCTTTTCCAGGCTACCCTTTTCCAGGGATGGCTACCCTTTTCCAGGAGAGGTTTGAGGTCACTAATGATGCATTTAAGGTGTTCAAGATGGTGGATTATATACTTAATTCCCATAAATACTAATGCAATAGCTGTTATATTTTTAAAAAGGGATAGATTCATAGGTCTGTATTTAGCAGCCTTCTGCAATTCATTAATGGAAATGATTTTAACTTTAAATCATTTCTTCAAAAGTACCGATTCTACACTAATGTTTTTATATTAAAATTGTCTTCAGGAAATTGTCAGACTGAAAAGTGAGCACTCTCATTTTCTAAATTTATCAAACTGACTACTTTGTACCAATTGGTTTAAAAACCAATATACAAAATTACTGCTTTCCAAGAATGAAAATCAATGTAAAATCTCTCCCTCATACTGTACATTAGAAAATACATTTGTTAATTCTGTCAAAGAATATGCTTATGCATTTCTCCACTAGAATAGGCAGCAAACAAAAATGATTTGCTATTTTTACCTGAGTTAACAAAGGTGACATAGGTTCTTGCTATAGAAAGAATTTAGGTAATGAAACAAAGATGTATTATTTTTTGTCATGTGCAGACTCTGAGAAGAGTATTAAAAGTAAATTTAACAAACAGTAAAATGTATGAGAGAACATCCGAATGCAAGCATTCACAACTGCTTTTAACAGTATTTTTTTCTAGAGCAGGACAAGTACTTTAGAAGTTAATGACCTCATGAAACAGTTTATTATGATTATTTAATTAGTCAGCAGTGACTACATACTTAGTGCAGTGCATAATAATAAACTCCTTATCAAAAACAACTTACTTGTAAAAGATAGTTGCAGACATACAGAGTACAGAACACAAGTGAGATAGCAAAAAGTAGGTGTTTTTACCCCCTTCCTTTTAATTTTTTACAGCTTCTGGATCTTTTTATATAAATAGGCCTTTAAAAACATTTTAATGAAGGAGAATAAACTCACCGAAACAAGGCAGAAAGGCATTTGATGAATGCCTCCTGGAATAACCTACATGAACATTTCTTAATCACAGGCACAAATTCATATTTACTCTTCACAATATTACAATAAGGCCTTTTTAAAATTAAAGTCTGGGGAGAAATAAATAGAGAAAAGTGGGTAGCGCTAACAAGTAATCCAGTGAAGAAATGCATACAGTACTAAAAATCATTTTTAGAATAAAACCAAAAAAAATTACCACTGAAATTCTAAAGACAGTGATTTTTTTTAAAGTTTCCCACCAAAACAGTGTTTGTTTCCTTTTTATTCGTGCAGTATTTTATACTGACATATGGAAAGGTAACCCAAGTAAAGTTTGGTTTAGGTTTCCTGTCAGCTTCCTTTTCCTCAAACAATTGTGCTCTCTAGTTTTCATTGGCAAATACTGGTAGTTTTTACTGAATACTGAAAAAGCTAAATGCCAAATTCTCCATTCTCCATCATCATTCCAGTCTCCAGCCACATGCAATGGAGAATCTGCAGCAGTGAAATGACGGCAGTTAGTTGACATCTGAATTTACCATTAATGGTAACAGTAATTCCCTCTTTTTTATTTCTAGATTTCCAAAAATATTTTAATGGCATGGACAGATATGTTTATACTAATATAAAAATAAAAGACAGATGACACAAACTCCTAAACAAAAGTAACTTTAGAAGAACATAAAAAACTTTGCCTAAATACCAGCTGAAAATTACCCCTGAAAGAAATGGAGTAACATACCATTCATGAAAGTTACTTTAGTTTAGATTTAATCTGTATGCATCCAGCCTTCAGTAGCCACTTGTTAATAGCAAACCTACTGCTTTGCCACCTGGTGGCAAGGTACAGTAACAGACACATAATGTGTGCCGCTACCCTGGCAACATCCATTCTTTATGCCTGTGTAATCTGCACTAGGATACAAAACCAATGTCAATTACACCAGACTACATGTTTGTCTGCCCATGCCCTAATGATGCTGTTATCATTCTTACTGTATAGCTGCAGAAACTCAGACACAGAGAAGTAAAGTAATCTGCCCAAAGTCTCTCACTCTTATCACACTACTGAGAACATAACTCAGTTCTTCTAGCTTTGAGTATCGTATCCGCTAGGCCTATTTGTTTTGTGCTGTGGTAATATTCAACATTTTCAAACATAACTGGGGCTCTCTATTGTGTTAAACGGTGCCCAATACAGGAAGACCTGTCCCACAGAACTTAAAATTTAATTAAGGATAAGCAGAAACAAATTAGTGAGTGGAATAGGAAGGAGAAGAAAAAAAAAGTAATTAAAATAACTGTTAATAGCCCAGTGATAAGTACAACATGGCAGTTCAGAAACCTTTAAAAAGTACAGTCCACTCTTGTCCCTGAGTTAGTAAGCAGTACTGATAGATTTTTTTTCTAATCATCACAGAAGTGGATTGTAAGGCAGAAAGGGATAGAGCAGGACGGAAGAAAGTGTGAATATAATCCTTAGTGGCAGTATGTATGTTTCAAGGCTAGTATCACTGGGACAGCAGAAATGAGAGGGACTTAAAATGAAAGAAGGATGAGTAAGAAGAAAAGAGAATTGTGAAAGATCTTAATGCTGATGCACTGAAGAACTGGGCAGAAGAGCAACACAAAGGTTATATCTGTTTTAGCACCACATTGTATCATTATGGAAAAACACAATATCCTACAAAAATGGTTCATCTTTGAACATTTTCAGATCAAAGTTACTGTTCTAGGGAATAGGAGCTTGATTTCTATGAAGTGAAAGGCTCCACATTTGCTTCAGTGAGCAGAGTTTAATGTTTCAAATGTCATCTATGGATTGCAAGGGAGTCATACTCACTGCAACCCTGATAAAGTCTGTTCTTCTTTCCATGAATTTTTGACAACATGGAATGCTATGATGTATTTCAATTATTAAAACCATCACAAAGCTTACTTTTGAGTCTAGACTCAGCTGTCTGCACACAATTTAGAATATATGGATTATAGTTTAAGCTTTTACACAAGTTTAAACAATTATTTTCTTTCTATCATTTGATATGGTAGTTGATGTTTTCCTTGCTATAATCAACATGGAGATGGCTTTATGTGGACAGTCATTTCTAACTAGTTGTCGCCAATCAGCATTCAGGCAAACGGGTCTAAGTTACCAGAGGCTAAGACAAACATTGCTTCTGACTGGGAAGAATTTTTCTGTGAAAATGTTACCAGGGCTTGTTACTACCAGTTCAGACATTTGAAAATATGGTTCTTACAGAGGGACAATTAATACTATAGTGTCACATGCTCGCTCTCTCTCTCTTCTGCTGACTTCCCTCACTCAGAATATGTAGGTATAAAATACAAACATCTTCATGAGCTGAATAACTAGAGATTGTAGGATGCTATTCATTAGAAAGTATTGGTATTGTTGACTGAATCTGATTTAAAAGATTTCTTTTCTATGTTTATATCAGAACCCTCAGATTTCTACTAATTTATAACATTGCATTACTGAGAACGTTGATATCTTAGTTGTTAAAATATGAAAGCAGAAGTTTCTATAGTTAAAATTACCATCCCTCTTAAGATATTATGAAATAGTTAAAGAAAATAGGGAGCTTCATATTTTCTGATGCTCTAATAATCACCTACATAGTGGATCTTTGGAGCAACTTTCCTCCTGGGAACTTACCTTCCGTATCTTGAACCACGAATGACAAAACTAAAAAAAGGTTGCTTCTGGGCAAGATTTTAACTTCAGATAAGAAGCTTGAACTTCAGATAAAGTGGACCTGTTATAGCTCTCATCCTCCTCCTGAATGAGGATACATACACATGGATTCTTCCACTTAAAAAAAAAATCATTCTGATCAGATACCTATCTCCTTAGTAGAGAGGCATTTCTGTACTGCCTTTGGTAAGGATATACCAGTGTTTCCTTCAATATTGCAGAGAATTTTCAGATTGATCCCACTGAAGCTATGAATGAAGAAAATGTTTCTTCTCAAACCCTCTAGAGGATATCTTTGCTTTTTTGGTTTGAGTTCTCATATCATTATCTTTTTTTGGTAAAATAATTTCTACCTCCTTCAGGTCCTTTTCTATTCAGGCACAACTTTGATTACAAGCAGAAAAAGATATAACGTAGTGTGCCTTTCTAAGGCTTGCAGTAATATTTGACACAAGGGAAAAGAAAAAGAATGGAGGCAATCTGAAGACTGATTGTTCAGTGACATTCTCCTGTTTTCTGTTGGGCAAATGGTACCCAAAAAGATGTTTTTCCCACCCAGTACAGGTGAGAAAACCCAATTTCAAAAGACGGACACAAAATTTGTTAGGAGGGCCAAGGACCATTACCTTTATCTACTGCTCAACAGCATACTGAACTGCTAAAGCAGTCTAAAAATATATGGCTGAGTGTCTCTACCAAGAGAAAAGCTCTACCACTGTGAGTCCTTGTAAACTAGAATGTATCCAAGAAATGTGTATCCCAGTACTTGTATATACTGTTAAGTAATAATGTTAGTGGTTCATAGTTACAATTACTGCAGAAAACATAAAATGCCTCACTTTAACAGTTGAACCGGAAATACTTGTGCTTAAAAGTCAACTGTTATCAGTAATCTTGCTAACATGGATAATCAACAGAACATACTATACTGGTTTTCAGAATGATAGATCAAGAAGAGCCACAGTGAACAATCTATTTTATTTTATCATACTGAGACAGTGAAACACACTAAATGATGTAAAATGCACGAGTATCTTGGAGGGCTTTTTAAAAGAGTTCAAAAGCCAGAAATCTGCTGGGCTCTGGAAAGGGATACCAATGTAAATTGTAAACTCAGCTTACAAAGAGGCTCTCATTTCATCTAGTTTCTTTACCTTATATTTGCCCTGATCGCAGCCACATAATGTGCTCTCCATTGTGTAGCTTCTTTGTACTCCTATCTCTCTCCAGACAACAACACGTGCTGTCGATTCCTTAGATTTTTCCACAACAAAACTGCAGCTGCTCATACAGAATGCAGGGGCAGTCTGACTGAGAATCTTAGGAAGAGCCTAAAGGACAAGAATTTGAAAAAAAAGTCTTCATTAGAGGTTTAAGGCAAATGAAACAGTTTTTGTATTTTATGTTAAATTAAGTTTTGCATAACTCAAAGTACTGTTTTCATCATTTAAAAACAAATCCCAGTGACAACAGGCTTGTTCTCTCCCCTGACTTTTTAAAAGCATTCCCATTTTGTGTCTGCAACCCATTTATTAAAAAAAATACCACATTAGTCAAGTGCATAGGCAACAAAATATGAAGAATCAGTTAGAAAAAGATCCAGCTATGTACATGACTAATTTTATTTATTTTTCAAACTGGGTAATGTGTAAAAGGTAAACACAACAGTTGGTCAAGTTAACATGGACTTAGTATCCCGTTTCAATATTTTTTTTAAGAACACAATATACGAAATATTTTATATGGGCAATATATTAAGCACTTGATACATGGTTAACTCAGCATGCGACTACAATTCAACTTCAATAAACTGAACTACTTATGTATTGCACTTATCACCCACGCTGAATTCTTTGGTCACTTGGGTCCCAAAGCACTTAAGTATGTATTGAACTTTAAAGTTAGTGGAAGTTAATCATTAATTTTTTTGTTGAATAAGGGGTAAATAAGGGGTTAGTTGAAAATTGTAGGTAAGCTTTGAGTGCCTCATTTCTTTTATTTTCCAAGTGTACTGTACATTTAATTTGATATGAATTTGGTGATATATTTAGACGGTATATTGTACTACTGTGTGTACTTGACTATACTAACAAGGGTCAATTTCCAAACCGCAGCATGTTAACCGAAGAAGGTTCTTTGAAAAGCAAGAAACTATCAAGCACTTATTTAGAAGAAGCTTCAAAAAGGCACACGAACAAATGTGTCGCTCCTCCTTTTGCTGTTTTTTATCCTTGCCAATCATAAATTAAGTTTACATCCTAATCCCTACTGACAATTCTAAAATCCATCTGAGGTGTAAACCTACCAAAGTATTTTGAAGCAAATAGAAGAAGGAGACTACACACTCCCAACAAATGCCTTATAAATATAATAGGTATCCAGGTTGTAGCTGTATTAGTCTAGAGGAAAAAGCATTTAGGACTTGTGGTAGAGGTGATATCTTTTATTAGACCGACTAGATTTTTGCAAAAAAAGTCTTTAATTGCAAGTTTTCAGGTGCAAATACCCTTCATCAGGCATTGGAGAAAAGATTGTAAAAGTTCTGGGTAGAAATGAAAGTTCATATTTCATAGGAGAGTTGAAGGTGATTTAATCTCCTGTTTATAAAATATAGTTTTATAAAATGAACTTTTCCAAACAGGAGACTTCACCACCTTCAACTCTCCTATGAAATATGAACTTCCATTTCTGCCCAGGAGAACTTTTACAATCTTTTCTCCAATGCCCGATGAAGGGTGTTTGGGCCTGAAAACTTGCAATTAAAGACATTTTTTTGCAAAAAATCTAGTCGGTCTAATAAAAGATATCACCTCTACCATTAGTCCAGAATGCTTTAGAACATGATAAACAGTTCCAACAAAAATTGCTATTTTTTAACTATTTTAATAACTTTAAGAATGACAACACTACTGAAAAGTAAAGAGATAATCCTTATATGAGATTTCCTTTTTGAGAACAGGACTACTTCAAAATAGCTTTGTTCTGGCTTTCCCATTCATGAAGAATGTGATAAATCTGCAAACTTGTAGACATAAATACCATTTATTCTCCCTGTCACTACTTTGTGCCTGGGTTTGCCTGGACTGTTTTACAAAGCATAGTAAGTGTCTTCTCACTTAATACATACCCCATAATAAACTAAAAAAACATTACTGACCTTACAATAAATGGCAGTTCTTCAAGATCTATGTATCCTACTAACAGTGTGCCTGTGGTCTGTGCACTTAAGTTAGGATTTTTTTTAGCCTGCAGTTTGTTGCAGTTCATGTTAAGCCCCAAGCATCCTTAGGACTCAAACTAAGGTTACAAAGGACAGGGTAACCCCAGCTGCTTCTCAGTTCCATCAGAATCTAGGTTTAAAATCATCTATACTAGTGGAGAAAAAGGGAGGGTGATAAGCTACACACACACACACATACACACACACACACCCCACCATCTCAAATAGCTGGTTTTAGTAAGCTACATAGCTATTTCTTCCTCAAGTATTGTCCATACAGTGAAGGTGACTCCCAAGCAGTGACTTAATTTGGTATGGAGGTAGGTGCCAGGAGTCTAAGTAAATTACTGTCTCCAAAACAAGTGCCAGATTTTAAGGCTTCTACAATGGACTAGTGTTTTGCAAACATAAAGCAATAAATTCTAAGTAGCTCCCTTCCATCTTTCTATTATTGCTATATTTCTTATGCAAACCATCATGACTACCTGAGCTAGTGGGGGCCAACCTTTTTGGCAGACGTGGCACAAGTTAGCCCTGGACCCTCCCGGAGTGCCACTCCAATCCCCTTTTTCTACCCAACCTGCTGCTCTGTTTTCTCCTTGCTGTCCTGTCCCAGTGCGAGCAGTGGCAGAGAGGTGGTGTGCCCTGCCCCGCTTGGACTGGTTTGTTCAGTTCCTACCAGGAGCAGAGCTGGTATGAGTGGTGGCAAGGAGGCAGTGCCCCTGCCCAACTTGGACAGCTTCCAGGAGCAGAGCCAGTGTGAGTGGCAGTGGAAGGCACCAAGGCCATCAGGCAATCAGGGACTGTGGTGTTTGCTCTGCCGGATGTCCCTGGGGGGGTGAGGTGCTATGCCCTGGTGTCCCTGCTCACCCACTGCCTCATTGGATGCTAGAGGACTTTAACCTGGACAGAAAAACTGTGGAGACTGGCCACAAATTAATGGAACAGGAGCAAAATTAAGCAGTTTAGAAATAATTCTGCCTTGGAGTGGTGTAATGTTAAGTCAAATAGTGAGTGCTTTAAGGTGTTAATGTGCAGCTAGTCCAGAGGTTAAGAGCTCCAGAAGCTAAAATTACTGTGCAGCAAGGCCCTTAGTAACAAGCCCCAAACTGGTTGTAGGGGGCAACCCTTTCTGGGCTTTCCAGTCCCCTTCTTCTGAGCTAAATGGCAAGATGGCAACTTTTTAGAATTAGAAGCCTATGAAGGAGATCTAGATGTTTTCCCCTTAACTAACAGTGAACCTTTCTCTTATGCTGTGAGAGCTTACCCTCTAAGATCATTTAGGAACTTGCACAGCAGAGGAGCAGGCTGAGGCGGTGCACTTTCAAAAAACTGCTGGTGTTTTGCCACAGTCCCTCAGGGTCAAAGGAATACACTAATCTTTCTACTAAGAACATTTCCAGATGTGCCTCCCTATCTTTTTGCATTCATCTTTAATACAACTTACACACTAACCAACCACTAATCACCGATTTGCCCTTCTCCTGAACAAAACAGGCATCTAGAGTGACCACTACTGGGAACATTGCTGCTTCACATAAAGATGAATTCTTAAACCCCAGAGACTTCTCTTCCATGAGGGCAGATGGGACATACTACCAGGAGGACTTTTGTGGTTGGGGAAGAGAGGGGGGCACAGAGGGGTAAAGTGGAATGGGGGAGGAAAGAGGGGTGCCCTACAGATTCTTAAATTAAGGGAATTCATAGAAAAGACAACCCTACACTAAATCTTACTACTGAAGAAATAAGTACTGAACTATTCCTAGACCTGTTTAAAGGAAATTCACAGGTCATATAATAGTCAAGAGCTTGGACACTGAAGACCTTCAAGGCACAGGTGGTGTGAAGGAACTAAGAAGTGGTTGGGTCACTTCCCATTCTTTCTGCCTTTGCCTAGAAGCCTGAGAATAACCATGGTACAAGTATAGCTTCCAATGGCCAAAAAAATCTAAACTAGCAGACAGGGAACATGCAGACATGTATGCAAA